CCGGGGAGAGGCGGTGGCGGCCCCGCAGAGCGGGCGGCGGGAGGCCGCGGCAGGGACCGGTGGGTGCGGGTCCGACAGGCCCTGACGGTGCGTTCTGTCTGTTCCGCAGACAGCACGTCCAGCCAGCTGCCCAGCAGCAAGCGGATGCGCACCGCCTTCACCAGCACGCAGCTCCTGGAGCTGGAGAGGGAGTTCGCCTCCAACATGTACCTCTCCCGGCTGCGGCGAATCGAGATCGCCACCTACCTGAACCTCTCCGAGAAGCAGGTGAAGATCTGGTTTCAGAACCGACGGGTCAAGCACAAGAAAGAAGGCAAAAGCAGCTCCCATCGGGGCGGGGGGGCTGGCCACAGCTGCAAATGCTCGTCCCTTTCCACCAACAAGTGCTCGGAAGACGACGAGGACTTGCGCATGTCTCCGTCCTCCTCGGGGAAGGACGACAGAGGCCTCGCAGTGTCCCCGTAGCCACCCTCACGCCCACCTCGGCTCCTCAGGAACTGTGGCTAAAGCAGGAGGGGGAGTCCTGCCTGCTCCGGTGCTGGCGTGTAGCCGAAGGATTTTATACCGTTTTGTATAATCTGTGTAATTTACGAAGGACTTTCTCGTTCTTTCCAGATCCTTGGCCCATGGGGGCGGGGGTCTGTGCTCTCTGTTGTAAATAAACTGCTCCCTAGGACCCCAGGCGTCCCCCAATAGTACTGTCTCACTTGTCACCCCGCACGCGCAGCCCCGGGCCCGGGAGGTTCTTCGCGGCCCCCCCCACGCACCGAGACAGGCGCGGATGTTGCGCGGCGGCGGGCGGTGTTGCCCGTCCAGCGGGATGCTCTCCCGGGTCTTCCTCCGGTGACTCGGTGGTGCCCGAAAGCGGGCAGACAGGGAGGCGCTCGATCTGCTTCGGTTATTTTTTTTATTATTACTTTTTTTTTTTTTCCCCCCCAAAAAACCCCTGTTCTCTGGTTTGTTTTGACTTCGCCGCTACCGGGCGCGCAGCTGTGGTTGTATCGTTCCGTCCCGCTCCCTCCTCTCGGGAGATATTTATTTATTTATTTATGTGCAGAGAAATTACGACGGCGATGATAACAATGATGACGATAAAAATAAAAATCTTGTTGCTGGTTTATTTCCCTCCCTTCACACCGTGAGCAGCCGCCCGGTCCCCGCGGCCGTGCGCCGGGAGCACCGTCGCTCTCCGTCCCTCTCCGCCCTGGCGAGCGCGAACGAGCGGGTTCTGCCTTTCTCCGGGTGTAGGGGACCCCTGTCCCCGTGCCGGAGGCTCTCCCAGTCTGTCCCCCGGAGGTAAA